TCTGCAACTCATACCCAGTGGAGAGAGTTCTGAATTCTTGTCTATTGATTTTTTTGTGGACTTGCTAACTCACAGGGCAATATAGTTATTCTTATGGAGGTTGACTGGTTTTCGAAAATGTTACATTTCATTCCGCTAAGGAAGTTGCCTACATCCAAAGAACTGGCATGAATATTCGCTCGGGAGGTCTTTTGGTTACATGGGTTACCTTAAGTTATCATCTCGGACAGAGGTAGCCAGTTTGTGTCCAGGTTTTGACAAGCCTTTTGTGCACAGTTGGGAATTCAGCTTTCCTTCTCCTTGGCATATCACCCGCAGTCCAATGGGGCTGCAGAATGGGCCAACCAAGCCTTGATACAGTTCCTACATTGCTATACACATTGCTATAACAACTGGATGGACCTGTTACCTTGGGTGGAGTTTTCTCACAATAACCCCATCAATGCCGTCTCCCAATTATCTCCGTTTATGGCGAACTATGGGTTCCAGCCATCCATGTTGCCTGATATACTCTGTTCCACAGGGAATTCCTGCATTAGAGGAACATCTTCAGGAACTCTGATTCACTTGGGTGCAGATCCAAGAATCCTTGCAACAAGCCAGAGAGAGGTACAAACTTCATGCTGACCACCGACGCCTACCTGCACCCTCCTACCAAGTTAGGTAGAGGGTCTGGCTATCTTCCTGTAACCTCCGACTCTGTGTTCCCTCACTAGAACTGGCATCTTGGTATTTTGGGCCTTTCAGCATAATCTGTAGGGTTAACCCAGTGGCATATAAATTAGATCTTCCTTCTCGCATGCATATTTCCAATGTATTCCATGTTTCCTTATTAAAACCTTTGGTGTGTAACTGCTATACAACCTCAGTACCACACCATCACCCGGGTTCAGGTTGACAGCCATCATTATTTATTTATTTATTTCAGGTACTTATATATAGAGCTGTCAATTTACGCAGCGCTTAACATATATATTGTACACTCACATCAGTCCCTAACCCTCAAGGGGCATACAATCTAAGCTCCCTAACTTACAATCATACATACACATACTAGAGCCAATTTAAACAGGAGCCAATTAACCTACCAGCATGTCTTTAGAGTGTGGGAGGAAACCGGAGTACCCGGAGGAAACCCACGCAGTCACAGGGAGAACATGCAAACCATCAGGCAGGTGGTGCTGTGGTTGGGATTCGAACCAGCAACCCTAGTACTGCCAGGCAGAAGTGCTAACCACTTAGCCATTATCAGATACAATCTATCATTGACTCCCGTAGGTTTCATGGCCACATACAATATCTAGTTCACTGGAGGGGTTATGATCTGGAGGAACGCTCTTGGGTTTCATCTTCAGACATACATGCTTCTGCCCTTCTCTGTGCTTTCCAGTTACATTTTCCCCTCAATCCTGGTGCTCTTCGGAGGGGGAGGGGTTGTCAAGGAGGGGGCACTGTCAGGGCTGGGCTCCTGCTATTTAACAAGCAGCTCTTTTCTTTCAGTGCTCAGAAGCTGCTCAGCTGGCAGTTATCTCCACAGTGACTCACTTGGATACCATTACCTGCCTCATTAGTCCAGCCTACAGCCAGCGCTTTTTGCTATGTTAGCATCTTAGCTCATTTCCTCCTTACCCTTGCATGGTCTATGATCTCCAGTGTGTACACTGCCTGCCTGCGTTCCTGTGTACAGCTGTGACTTTTGGCTCCTGACTACGCTGACTTCTGGTCTCCTGACCCTGGCTCACATGATTACCCACTCTGGCATCCAAACCCTGGCTTCTCTTTTGACTACATTCCTGAACTTTTATTATTTTTGCTATTCGATTAAAGGTGTGATTTTAACTGCCCTTTCTGTCTCCGACTGGTTTAAGGTTCCTAACATATCTATGGATCAGGTATGTAAATTTATAACATTGCACATACGCATTCTCAACATACTAAATCACAAGAGCCTTCTGGATTACCTGCACCCTGCAGGTCAAGCTGCCTTGGTGCCTCAGACTTAGTTGGCACTACACACCAAGGAACTTCTGTAGTTATACAGCTTGCTGACTTTTCCAAAAAAGAGGGAACCTTCCCATTCTTCTACAGAAGTGTGTTCTGCCCCCCATTCCCTTTCTGTAATCTTGGCCTAATTTCCTGGTTTCACCTTGGGAGTGCTAAAGAGACACCATCCAAATTCAGCATTACTTAAGGGAGCAGCTTCCCTTACTTTATGTTCACCTTCTTTGGAGAACTCCTACCTTTGCATCAAGAAAGATTTAAATCTCCCTCCTAGATTGTAAGCTCCAAGGAGCAGGGCCCTCTAATCCCTCTTGTATTGAACTGTATTGTTACTGTACTGTCTCCCTCCATAATGTAAAGCGCTGAACAAACTGTCGGCACTATATAAGTCCTGTATAATAATAATCTTTATGTGCACCACCTAGGGCCCCATCAGGCATGCAGAAGATTGAACATTGCAGTTTAAAGAGATATTGACCCATGCTTTTACAGAGCTCTTCTTCCTTCAGAATTAAACCCAGCCACTGGTACCTGAGGACCCAATGTGAGTTAGTATGTAAATTTGATTATAAATATATAATTTATTATTTTTGATATCATCACTTTTGTGAATATGGATATTTTTGAGTTTAGAACACAACAGAGTTTAGACATCAGTGGTGCTTTTGATTTTGACTGAAGGTCCTAAGGATGATCTTAATGGATATTTTTGAGACTTTAGAACTTAATGATCGCATAAATCCACACTAAATGGTTTGTAGCCTTTTGTGAACAATCTGTGGGAGAAAATATGGTTCCTAGAAGTTTACGCTGGAAAGTGTCTCCACAAAAGGCAGAGACAGAGTTACAGGAGTGGTCTGAATATGTCAATAAATCAAGTGTTGTTGAAAGTTGGATAAACTGGATGAGGAGATTAATTTAATGAAGGAAAAACTCTTGCCCCTTTAAGAGAATGCTGACTACGCTGCTAAATCAGAAGCTCTCAAGAAAACCCTCCTGAAGGAGGAAGCTGATCAAAAAGTGAAAAAGAAGAAAATATTATAGGGATGTAGGCGATTACAAGAGCAACTTGATTTTCAAATGGCAAACGAGAAAGAGCAAGTGGAAGTGAAGTCCCCCATCCCCCTTTAGGGAAGGCTGGGTGGAGACTTTGAATATTCAACAACAGTTCCAATGAAGGGCAACCATGAAAATAGTTACAACAGTGAACATAAACTAGAAAATCCACAATTTCTGGGGAAATTGTGTGAAGTGTTGTTGCCTGCAGCAGTAGTCTACAACTGGAGTGGGCGGAGTAGCTTTTGTCACTCAGCTGAGTGCTCACACACCTGGGTTCCTATGGCAACTCACTCTACAGCAAGAGCAGAGGAGCGGTTATAAACACACTGCTCCAACTTGCTCACTTCACTGGTGGTTGCCATCTTCAAACGGTTGTAGTTTTACAACTATAAATCCTACAGTGAAAAGCTTTATATTGTGAGAATCACAAGACCCAGACCTACATCTTGATGCATAGTATGTCTCTGAAATATTAAAAATGAAGACACAGTTGCAGTTTAGAAATTGCCCTTCAAATTTCAGGTGTTTAGAGTGGAGATTCAATGAATGTCAATGGGCGGCGTGAGTTGCAAACAAATGGTCATATTGTGAAAACTATCAGGACTATGGCTTAGCCGTGAACATTTTTAGTGGCAGCAGGGATAGCTGAAAATTTTGATAGGTGGTAGGTGGTAGGTAGGTGGGCTTGAAAATGACAGAGTGATGGCAGTTTAGAAATCATGTTCTGATTTTTCCTTCCACACTCTAGCTTTTCTCTGCTGCCACTCTAGTTGTGCCATTCATTCCTGAGGGACCAATTTCACCACAACAACTGCGATATTTCGTGAACCATTCAGTGAAACGTTCCACAAAGTAATAGCGATCAAATCGGGAACAATCCGCACGTTTTGATATATTACTTGTCTTTGTAGTATAAAAACTGTGGGAGGAGTTAGCGTGGTAAATTTTGCTATAAGAATATATTTGTGAGATAACAATAAGTGTTCTTGCAAAAGCATATACAGTATGAAGGTGTATAGAGTGTGGTATACGCTAAATATTGAATGTCCATAAACCAAGTCCATATAATGTGAAATAATCAGTGATATTGTGAACAATCCAACTCTTCACAACTCATTTGCTTCTTCATGTGCTGAAAACCCACACCATTAGATAAGCGCTATAAGCATGCAGGCAGTGTCACCTCAGTGCTAACAGAGCTCTCACCTCAGTGCTAACAGAGCTCTCACCTCAGAGAACTCAAATTGCTCTTAATAATGCCACATCAGTAAGGATTCCTTCACTCTCCCGATCATTAGCCTTGTGGAAATAGTCAAACACCTTTGTACTTTAAAAACAGCATCAAGCCAGATATGGGATCTGGTCCCTTTAAGGGGGGGGGGGGGGTGTTGGAGGTCTGAGATAATCACCCTTAATGGAGGAGACAAAAGGACACTCCCATGATGCAGTACTAACAAGGGTGTCTTTATACCCCCTTCCTGCCCAGGCCAATTTCCAGCTTTCAGTGCTGTCACACTTTGAATGCAAATTGGTCATGCAACACTGTACCCATATTAAATTTTTATCATTTTTTTGTGACAGAGCTTTATTTGGTGGTATTTAATCACCTCTGGGTTTTTAATTTTTTCTTAAACCAAAAACCACTGAAAATTTTTAAGAAAAGTTTTTTCTTAGTTTTTGTTATGAAATTTTATAAATAAGTGATTTTTCTCCTACACTGATGTGCGCTAATGAGGCTGCAGTGATGGGCACTGATAGGCTGCACTGATGAGGAGGCACTGATGGGCATTGACAGGCATCACTGATGGGTACTGAAAGGCAGCACTCATATGGCACTGATAGGCGGCACTGACTGGTACTGTTAGGTGGCACTGACTGGCACTGTTAGGCGGCACTGATAGGCAGCACTGACGGGCACTGATAGGAAGCACTGATGCACACTGATAGGCGGCACTGATAGGTAGCACTGATTGGCAGCACTGATAGCTGGCACTGATTGGTGACACTGGAAGGCAGCTCAGATGGGCACTGATACGTGGCATTGATGTGCACTGGTAGGCACTGAAATGTGGCACTGATGGGCACTGGCAGGTGGCATGGATGAGCACTGTGAGCTGGCACTGATGGACACTGACAGGTGGCATTGCTGGGGCTACACAGATCATCAGGGCACACTGATCATCAGTGCTCTGATGATCTGTGTACATGTACCCTTCGAGGAATGCTGATTACCGGCTCTCCTTTCCTCTTGAGCTGTCAGTGTGACAGCTCGTGAGACGAGAAATGCCAATAACTGGCATTTCCCTGTTTACATGTGATCAGCTGTGATTGGACTCAGCTGATCACATGACCGAGCCGACATCTTCGGCTCTTTCCATTGATCGGTGATCCGCTGTGTCCGAGGGACACAGCGCACCGCCAATTGCTGCACTGCGCGCTCCTGGAGCCGCGCATGTATGCTTAGAATGGGAGGACATCATATGACGTCCTCCCAGAACGAGAGAACCGCCTTGCACCCTTCATTGTACTATATGGCAAGCGGGAGGCGGTTAAAAAGTAATGCACTCACATGTAAATATAAGTAAAACGCCATATATCAGGTAAGAAACTTTACCAGATAAGCTGCACTTTCAGGTAATGTTAGACACAGTTCACTTCTGCCCACAGCCATGACCTTATACGTTACACCATGCCCACTTGACTTCATCAGAGGGACCCCTGAATGGTTATAGCGCCTATCTAATGGTGAAAGTTTTGAGCACATGAAGAAGCAAATGAGCTGTGAAGAGTTGGATTTGTCATGTACCTGGATAGTGAGCCTGATGTGAAGAGGCAGGCTTCCCGTACAACTCCGGCTCAAGGACTGCTGATGGTGAGACAGCGGTCGCAGGGGCACGGTGGGGTATGAGTGCCTGTGATCAGTCGGGTAATAGCAGGTGAGCTGATGAGTTGTAGGCAAGGAGCAGGGTTCTGATGTAGCCATGCGGGATGGATAGATACTCGAGCGCAGCGTGCTGAGGATGCAGGGTCAGACGAGCCGGGTTCGGTATCAGTCAGGCAGATCAGGCTTACAGCGGCAGGAGGAAGAGTAGTCAGGTCACAGGCCAGGTCAGCAATGGAAGATCAATCAGACAGGAGCGGAGACAGAAGAATAATCAAAAAACAAATCAGAGGTCAGGGCAGGAAGCAATCAAGCGGAGATCAGGAACAGGCTGGTTCGGTATCAGGAGACAATCACTGAAATCAGGAAACCCGAGCAGGGAAAAGACCATACGGCAATGGTACAACTACTGCAGCCAGTTTAAATAGCCCTTTTGGTGCCAGCATTAGTGACAGGCGTGCACTCGCATGTGCGAGCGTGCATGCCGATATCCAGGTACCTGCACATCTGTTTGGCTCGTAAGGACTCTGCACGTTTGCATATTTGTGCGCCGCAGAACTTCACCTGCACTATGGACAGGTCTTCTCTGATAGGATTGTTCACAATATCACTGATTATTTCACATTATATGGACTTGGTTTATGGAAATTAATTTAATATTAGTGTATACCACACTCATATATGCTTTTTGTTAATTTATTTGTTTGCATTGCAGCATAGTTTTATTTATGTTATTGTTTACTTGTGGGAATACAATTTAATGCTAACAGCAGCTCCATTTCACTATTATCAGTCTTCACTTTTTCTTTTTGTTATTCACTAGGTAGTGCAGGAGATTTTTTGGATTTTATACTAGTTACAACTGGCCCCATAGGGGAGGAAATGGGTATGACACCTGGTACAATAGAGATGGCAGCGGTAGGTGGTACTGCATGGTTGCACCCCCCATTCTCAATCATCTAATATCCATACACCCTCCCAATGTTCTCAAGCACAGTTTAGAAAGAGGAGAAAATCAGAGTTTAAGCAACATGATAGACCTCCACATAGACATTTTTCTGTTAATAGGGGGAGGGAGGATTCCAGACATAGACGGAGGAGTATCCTTTACAGAATAGATACCTTTCACCTTCCAAGAGAGGGAGATATTTTTCACCTTCTGGGGAGAGAGAGACATTTTTCTAGAAGAGATAATTCTCAAAGGAATGTAGGAATGAGATATGATGTCCCGACCTCCAATAGATATGAACCTCTGAATGATGGCGGTTTTGGGGGTGACGCAAATGTCATCAGAGAGCATCTGCACTGCTTTGCGTTATTGAACTGTTGTATAACATTAGTCAGACAGTCTAACAATAATTCAGAAGTCAAACGTGAGACATCAGATCTGTATGTATTCTTTGTTCTGAATAACTTTGTAAAACTACAACATAAGCACAAACAAAACATATGTGTCAGTACATTAAACATTATACAACAGCTTCATCCCATCAGTGAGTGTACTCATGGACAATTCCACCATAAGTCCAGGAATAGCTTGGAGCTTCACTGTATGCTACTTGCTAGTTTCAGAAACAGTCACGAAATGGAGGACAGGAACTTCCAGGTTAGAAGTTATTGCCTCTATGTGAAAATTACCACTTCCTATAAATTCTGCTATAACTAGGCATAACTCTAACCACTAGATGGCAGCAACAACACATAACATTACAGTATATTACATACATTATTTTCAACAATATGGGCAGAACAGCATCCCTTAGCAGCTTCCCATTCTAGTCAAGGTAGAACCCAAGAACAGGGCTAATATAGGAATTACCATGATTTTCATAAGGGAATGGGATACGGCACAAAAATAGGAATGGATGCAAAAGAGAGACAAGGGGGGGGGGGGGGGGGAGAGTTCAGTCCTAAAAGGTGAAGAGTGTAGAAACTAGTGGTAATTTCAATTTAGTAAATTAATCCTTACTAAAGAAGAGGAAAATCACTCTTAATAAAGGATTAAAATATGCCCCTATATTAAATGTGAAGCTGTATCTCATGACCAATCCAGCACTTAACACTAGGGAGATCACTTCCCAGGTACTGCATTCTAACTTAAAATGCCTCACTATTTAACCCTCCCACCAATTTGTTCCCTTCATTATCAGTGTTTAAGGACCTTGTTCTAAAGGACCTTGATGCATTGAAAATCAAAAATGTTAGGTCTCAGAGAAATATACAGTTAGGGAATGCACAATTGTGTGTGAGGAAAAATATAGTTATCCACACCATCGATAAGGGGACGGCATAGTCATCCTAGATAAGGATGATTATAACAAGGAAATGTCTAAAATCTTTTCAGATAGGGACACCTATTCCATAGTAGCGCACAATCCTACTTCTATATATGAAAAATAACTTGGGAAACTAGTGGATGGTGGACACAAGAATGGCATTCTTAACAAAAAATAATGGGTATTTTTGGTCCCTAGGGTGCCTATTATGTATAGTCTACCAAAAATTTATAGATCTTTTATTAATCCCCTGGGTAGGCCAATTATCAGTGGTATAGACTCGGTTATTGCTAGGGCCAGGAGATATATATTGATTATTATCTGCAACCACCCCGTCTTATTTAAAAGATAGAAGACATACTATCAATGTGTTTGGGGAGATAAATTGGAAACCTGGTTATAATACGACCACGGTATGACTCCCCTATTCTAGATAATCAGAAAGAGTTTATTCTCCAGCTGTTACAATTCTCCATGAGCCATAATTACTTTTGGTTTGGGGGTTCATTCTATGTGCAATGGAGGAGCGTAGCCATGGGGGTTACCTCTTCATAACTATGTGGGAGGAGGATGTAGTTTTAAACAATAGGAGGCCGGAGCTTATACTGCGGAAACCTTACATTGATGACATTATTTTGATTTGGAATATGAATTCTAACTCCACTCCAGAAGGCGTATTCTGTGCTGTTGCAGCCATTGTTTTGTTGAATTACTTGTATGCTTTGGGTCATTGTCCTGTTGCATCACCCATCCTCTGCGGAGCTTCAGTTGGCGGACAGATGGTCGTACGTGTTCCTGCAAAATGTCTTGATAAACTCTGGAATTCATTTTCCCATCAATGACAACAATCCGTCCAGGCCCTGAGGCAGCAAAGCAGCCCCAAACCATGATGTTCCCTCTGCCATGTTTTACAGTGGGGATGAGGTTTTGATGTTGGTGTGCTGTGCCTTTTTTTCTCCACACATAGTGTTGTGTGTTCTTTCCAAACAACTCAATCTTGGTTTCATCTGTCCACAGTATATTTTGCCAGTAGTGCTGTGGAACATCCAGGTGCTCTTTTGCAAACTTCAAACGTGCTGCAATATTCTTTTTGGACAGCAATGGCTTCCTCCGTGGTGTCCTCCCATGTACTCCATTCTTGTTTAATGTTTTCCTTATTGTAAATGTGTCAACAAAAATGTTAGCATGTGCCAGAGATTTCTGTAGGTCTTTAGCTGACACTCTGGGATTCTTCTTTACCTCATGCAGCATTCTGCGCTGTGCTCTTGCAGTCATTTTTACAGGACGACCATGCCTAGGGAGAGTAGCAACAGTGCTAAACTTTCTCAAATTCTCAATTCATGCAAAACTGCACGTAATCCCAAGGGGTTCACATACTTTTTCTTGCAACTGTATATATATATGTGGTAACCTGTCCCTGCGGTAAACAATATGTCGGGTGGGAACTATATATACACATTTAAATGAGCACATAATGGGGGGCGTGGCTTGGCGCATGGAGCGATAGCAGTGACACTGCACAGCTCCCGGCCCCGACCTCCGCTGCATGCTCTCTCTCTCCTTCATGGGCTTGCAATTATAATGCCCATGGGGAGGAATCAATACCGGACCCCGTGGAGAGCAACAGGGAGCCGGTCCGGCGGTGGCATGAGCTGGTTTCTGACCCGATCCTCGGCCGAGGCCTCGGGCGCCCCGGCCTCCAAGATGGCGCCGGTACCTCTCCCCTCCTTGTCCCCTGTGGATACAGGGCTCCATGAAGAAGGGCAGGTAAGCCCTCAGGACTCTCTCTCCTCCTGGGGATCCTGTTATGCAGGCACAACAAACACAGGGCACACAGAGATACCGCAGCCCCTCACCAGCATCTCTCTGCTCTGAGGATGGCTGGGATCTGCAGTCCCACATGCAGTCCCTACACACCTACATGAAATCCCTTCCTAGAAAGGCAGATTTTGAGCTTTATGTGAAATGTATTGAAAGCACATACAAGCAGGAAATTTCTGATCTTAAACGAGACATTTGTGTGCGCATGGAAGAGATTGAAAATACCGCCGACGGCCTGTGTAACGCTTTACAAACCCACGAAGAGGCCCTTAACTCCCATACAGTTCTTATACAACATGTATCAACAAGATGACATTGAGAACAGGAACCGCCGTAACAATATTTGGATCAGGGGCATACCAGAAACCATTAAATCGAAAGATTTGGCTGCAGCAGTTACCGCCATCTTCAATCAACTGCTCAAGCAACCTAAAGACACCTATATTGAGTTAAAGCGCGTACATCGCACGCTGGGCCCCAGGAATCCTGACCCATCTTTTGTCCATGATACCCTGTGCAGGGTCCACTACTTTAAGGTCAAGGACTCCATTATGCATGCGGCCAGCACGCAAGGAACCCATCTGTTAGGGATCCAGGTATGACCAGAAATGTGTGGACTGACACAGGAAAGTAGCAGGCTTCAGGAATACAGGCGTAGTCAGGCTGGAGAGGTGGAATGGTCAGGCAGGCCGTAAGGTACTGTCAGGTGCCGCCTGGCAGTGTCTCTAGCAGCCCACAGCACGGATTTCCTCAGGGCGCGGGGTCTAAGTTCCAGCCTGCTATTCACCAGGGCCCCTGATGGAGGGGATGGACTTGGTGCAGACTGGAACCAGGTCGCGACCCCTGAGTGCGTCCGGCTGTGGTAGAGAGTACTGGCAGGGGAGTGCAGGAGTCTGATGGGAAGAGGCAGGCAGACTTACTAAAGGTGATCCGTGCGGGATGGATGGATCGTCGGGTGAAGTAAGCGTAGTCAGACAGGCCGGGTCGGTATCGTGCGGGCAGCGTGGTACAGGAGGAGCAAGCAGAGAATGGTCGGGGTCACAAGCCAGGTTCAGCAGGTAGCGGGCAGCGCGCGGTACCGAGGATCAGGCAGAAGGATGGTCAGGCAAGCCAGGGGTTCAACAGGAGATGGTCAGCAGAGGTCAGGATCAAGCAGGGTCAACAACGAGGCAGGAACACAGGATACCAGGTACAGGGGCTCATGGGAAACATACACCAAGGCCCTGATCACAGGCCTGGTCATTCCTTAAATACACCTCCTGCAATCAGCCCAGGTGTTGGCTGACTACAGGAGTGAGGTTCTGGCTGCTGAGAGCACCCGCTGGTCAGCCCTGGTACTGCAGCCCACACGGCAGGTGAGTCCCACCACCAGTGCTGAGTCAATTCCTGACACCATCCTATTCAACGAAGTGCCAGTGATGCTCCTCCCTGACCTTTCCCGCCAGACTCTAGCTATGCGCAGGGCTCTGCGCCCTCTCACTCAGATGTTGCAGGAGAGGCATATCCGCTACCAGTGGTGGTTCTTGTTTCAACTTCACACCTCCCAGAATGGTAAATCTGCTCAATTCCGCACCCTTGGGGACTTGCCTACATTTCTCGATGTGTTCGAGCTACCTCAGGTCTTCCTTCCGGATTGGCCCTTTCAACTACCAACCCCTGGCCTTCCATTCCCCTCTTCCTGGCAGCGGTCCGATCGTTAGAAGAAGCGTTGTCAGGAATGGAGATTTTTATTGTATTGTTAGCATACAAAGCCAGCAACACCAATTTCATACAAAATTACAAAAAGTATAAATAAATAAATATTTACAAACATAAGCATAATACTGAACCAAAAAGTTCCAAAGTCCCTGGGAAGAGAAAACATACATAACCTACCTTTATGGCTCATAATGTAATGAAAAGTCCAATACCTGAAAGGGAAACTCATGACCAGTGCATATGCAAACATACACAGGCCTTTATGGCAAAGGGAACAGCAGCCGCCATTCCAGACACTCAACAAAAAAATAGGGCAATACCCACATAGGACCTATCCTGGCCCCCTCATGAGCAGAAAATATGTACAATTTCCATATGAACTACTACTTGTGGCCTTTAAGGCCTAAACAAAGCCTACACAAAACATGCAAATACCTACTCACTTAAACATAATACAAACCCCTCTGAAGAAGACTAAGAAACGGAGCGGAGTGTCCGCAGCCTTTCAAAAAGGGAAATTCACCTCACAAAATCTAGGGGGGGTGAAGGAGAAGGAAATTAGGGACAGACCCCACCACCCGAGATCAGCAGGCAGCGGCCACAGACCTGATGTTCCACCACGCCTCTATCCAGGCCTTCCGCTGCCACCTGCCTTTCTCAAGGCCCCAAATTTTCCCCACCTCACCAAGGATGCCACTCACCACCACCTGGACAGGGAGGACATTCTGCCGGATAGAGACCTGACACCGTGCATGCCATGTGTAATAACGGACTACTACACTAACTAGAAACAAGGTGTCCAAATCAAAATCCCAGCGGCTATCGAATGCCCCATACACCCACTCTGCATAAGACATGCAACAGAGGAAAGGGACACCCAGAGCCTCACCCACCTGTTTATACACTTCTACGTTAAAGGGGCACTGAAGCAGGAAGTGGTCCATGCTTTCCACCTCGCCCTGACACTCCGACCTTGGACAACCACGGTTATCCAGAGGACGGTACTTCAAGTTACCCCTCACGTAAAGCCTGCCATGGAAGGCGAGCCAGGCCAGGTCCCTAAACTTCAAGGGAATCCGTTCCAGATTTAATAAACGTAAGCCCTCCCTCAAAGTATGGCCTGGGCAATCCTTCAAGGCCAACGGAGCATGGAAAGCAGACGCCACAATCCACTCACCCAGGAGCCTCCTGGGGAGGGATCTGACCTCTCCCACCGTCACATGCCACCGCCGGAGTAACTTCAGGCACGGGGCCACGTAAGCCGGGAGCACACCATGCTTGACCTGCAGGCTTTTCACTGGCCCGCAACTCTCCCGACTGTTCAGAAAGGGCCTAAACCAGACCCGAAAAAGTCTTACCCATGCAGGTGGTCTCTCTGCCAGCATGTTACCAAAGTTATGTTTCAAAAACATCAGAGAAAAGAAAACCACCGGGCTGACCATACCTAGGCCACCCTCCCACCTGGATGAGTAAGTTACATCATGCTTAACAAGGTTCAGCCTGTTCCCCCATAACATCTGGAAGAAACAGCTGTAAATCCTCGTATAGAGTGATTCTGGCGCGAGGCAGACGAAGCTGACATACAGAAACACTGGGATCAGAAAGGTCTTAATCAGGTAAACCCTTTCCCTCAAGGAGAGCCGCCATCCCTTCCAGCATCTCACTTTGACCTCAGCATCAGACAGTTTGGTCTCCCAATTTGACTTGCCGTAATCAGCAGGGCCAAAATTGATACCTAGGATTTTCACACTCTGTTGAGGCACCAGGAAGGTGTCCGGAAGTGAGAAGCTCTCACCCTCCCTACCCATCCAGAGAACTTCACATTTATCCTGGTTGACCTTGGAACCTGATGCCTCGGCATACTGATCCATAACTGAGACCACCTCCTGCGCCTCCTCTGGTCCTTCAGACAGAAACGTCATCAGCATAAGCTATGACCCTCAGAGGCGGATCCCCAGAAGCTCCCACCGGCACCCCACTCACGCCCCACCATCTAACCTCCTAACGAAAGGATCAATGGCAAAGGCATAGAGCAAGGGGCTCAGCGGGCACCCCTGGCGCACCCCAGATCCAACCCCAAAGGGCTGCCTAACCCAGCCATTCACCAACATGAAGCTCTCGGCCTCTCTGTATAATGTCCTCAGCCAGCCAATGAAACCCCCTCCAAACCGTACTGGTCCAGGAGATGCCAGAGGTACTCATGATCGACCCAATCAAAAGCCTTTGCCTGCTCCACTGCCAGCAAGTACTTTCCCCATCCTTCAGCCTTACACCGTTCCAGAGCCTCCCGGACAGCTAAAACCGCTGTGAAGGTAATCCTGCCCTGAACCGAGCAATGCTGCTGACAAGAAAGCAACCCACCTGCCACTGACGACAAGCGCCAGAACAAGATCTTCGCCAGAACCTTTCTATCGACATTGAGAAGGCTGATGGGGCGTCAATTCTCAATAGCCGAAGGATCCTTACCCTTTGACAAAAGGATCACCGCAGACTGTCTCATGGAGGGAGGGAGAGATCCCTCACTCAGACAGCAGTTGTAAACCTCCGCAAGATGAGGCGCCAAGCTGGACTTAAAGGCTTTAAAGAACTCTGCTGTCAAGCCATCTGGCCCAGGAGTCTTCTTAACGGCCAGACTGTCAATGGCTTTGGCCACCTCTTCCGCGGTAATCTCCTCTGTCAAACTTGCAGGCGTGATGTTACCTTCTAGGCCCGGTGTAGAATCCAAAAAACTCGACATCCTTGTCCGGTCGAGGCGCTTCACACTCAGTAAATCCGCATAAAAGGACCTAGAGACTTCCAGGATCCCTGCACTGGATTTAACCAGGGACCCCGTACCATCTCTTAAGGCAAAGACTGTTTTAATCGCTGCGCCTTGCTTACAGTTCTGAAAAGGGTCGGGCGAGTGGTACTTCCCATAATCCCTCTCCAGAACCAAAGAGGCATGCCGGTCATACTGGTATTCCCTAAGGAGAAGCTTTACCTCCGAGTTTGCCCCAGAATCTCCTCCGCTAGAAACAAGGCGGTCGAGTTTCCTCCGCAACCGTTGGTAAGCAGTATACTTATTAAACTTGTTTTTTTCTTACTTATGGCCTTGAAAAACCTGCTGATCCGCACCTTAGTAAGCTTCCACCACTCAGACTTACTGTTGCAGAAATCCAGCATGGTCTCCTGTGCCTGGAAGAACTCCTCAAAGGATCGTCTCACCTCCTCACCTTCCAGCAGAGCCAAATTCAATCTCCAGATGCCCTTCCCTCTCAGCGGTGTACATGAAGGATTCAAAGCCACAGTAAGCATAAGGTGGTCAGAGAACTCCACCGCCCGACACTCAGGTGCCGAGAAAGCAGAGTCCTCCTTCAAAAAAAACCTGTCTATCCTACTCTGGCAGTTACCTCTCCTAAAAGTGAAACCGGTGCTGTCCGGGATGCGCTTAATCCAGGCGTCTACCAGACCTGCTGCCCTGACAATAGCGTTAAGAAAACGCTGTCATATCCCATCCTGTCAATGGAGCCCCTCCTTTCCTTGGGCCTAGTGACGGTGTAAAAATCACCTCCAAAGACAACCAGCCGGGACGTAAAAAGGAAAGGCCTGATCTTTGTGAAGAGGCATTTCCTGTCCCACTTGGACTGTGGTCCATAAATATTAATAAGGCGCAGTTCCTGCCCCCTCACAAGGATGTCTAAGACCAAACAGCGTCCAGTCTCCACCTCAATTACCCGCCGGCACGTTACCATGCCGGAAAAAAGCACTGCAACCCCGCTGTAAGGCTCAGCTGCAAGAGACCAGTAGGAGGGCCCACGCGTCCACTCCCGCTTGGCCAGATGGATATCCGCCAAGCCGGCCAACCTGGTCTCTTGCAAAAAGAAAATATCAGCATCCATACCACTGATCAAAAATAAAGCTGTTTCTCTAGCACTTACAGATCTTAGGCTGGCAACATTAATGGTTGCCACCTTAAACGGGGCGGGAACTGCCATTAAGGTAATTGCCGTTTCTTAACCTTCTTCTTCCTGGACTTAGCAGGGTCTCCTGACCTTTTTAGGGACCCTCCCCTCCTCATCCTCCATCGGGGAGGCTGGGTCACTAGAGATCCCATCCTCCTCCCCCGACAGAGCCCCAAACTTGTTAGCCAGGGTCAGATCCTCCACCTCCAGAGAAAATACCAACCCAGCAGAAGAGAGGACAGTTTTAGTTTTACCTACCACCGTCCACCCATCCCCCGCCGGAGCCCCATCCTGCCCACCCTGAGCAGGACCTTGGGCAACCTGGGGACATTCCTTAGGGGTCTTACCCTGCCTGAGGGGAAGGAGAATCGGGGAAGCCAGCGCAGAAGGCCCTAACTTGGCCTGACCTGACCTAGGCCCCACCACCCCTGCCCCCCTGGCAGCCTCCACCAACTTTCTCCCTTTCCCCGGAGGGGGAGCAGACACAGCAGGGGAACTTACAGGAGAAGGGACCGGACCAGGACAGACTCACCAGGGGCAACTACCACCGAAGGGGCCTCAGAGACTTCCCCTCCCCCTTCCGGCTCCACCACCGGAGCTGAAACAGTCCTCCTCTCTGCCTCCAACTCAGCCTCCTCAGCGTCAATCCGATCCAACTCCGCCTCAAGCGCACCTTCTGGCAGGTTGCGGAGAGCCGCGGGACACTGGTTGTACGAGTGGCCAAGGGTGTCACACAGGTTACACCTTATCTCATTACAGTCCCTGGCCAAGTGCCCAATCTCTTGGCACAGGGAGCCGCGCACTACCGGGCATGTGGCCGCAAAATGCCCCTTGCTACCGCTAGCCTTCCAAGAAAGATGTGCTGCAACACGTTCCCTTCAACTCGCAGCCGCACCGTGGCCGTCCACCCGCCCGTCCAGATCTTTCTCTCATCAAGGATCTTGTGTAGGGGCCCCATAACGTCCCCATACCTCCCCAACCACACCACGATGTCCGACGCAGGCACTGACTTGTTGCGGGCCAGGATGGTAACTTTTTTTATAACATTCTGCCTGGAAACGAGTTTTGTGGCAAGACCAGCCCACCTCGGGCTCTGAGCATACCCCCCCTCATACTTTTGCCAGAATAAGTCTAGCAACTCCGGCCGCATGAATGAAACATCGTACTCCCCCGTTCCAACAGGGGCTATGAAAGCATAGATATCTACCACTCTAAAGCCCATCTCCAGCACCCTGTCAATTACCTCCCTACGGCTTAATGGGGGGCCCTCCCCGGTCCATTTGAGCTGGACCACGTTCCTACGTGCTGCCGAGGTGGGCAGGTTCCCCGCAAGAGCCTGGAACGGCCTAGCTCGCTCCTGGCCGCCTCTCACCGCTGCCGAATAACTCACAGGCTGTACTGCTAGAATACCTGCCACCGGGGCCCCAGAAACAGAAGGCTCAGGGACGGGGGGAGCCACAACAGGGAGTACAGGGCCCTCCTGGGCTGACTCAGACATAGCAGAACCCAAAGGAGCCCACCCCGACAGGGGGGACACTCTTGGTAACTTGACCTGGGGAGACTATAACCCCAACCGGAGAACCCAGAGGGACTGACACCACACTCGGAGCACCACTGCCTTTCCAGGACACCGGACCCGGCGGGACCAGGACTAAAGGAGCTGGGGAAACAGCAGTCCTCAGGCACATTACCCGGTTGAGCAGAGTCCTTAACCACGTCCACAGGTAGCGGTTCCCCCGCCTTGATCAGCAGCCCACTCTCTACTGAGCTGGGGATGCGATGGAGCTTCACATAGGCTGCCCGCTCTTTGGTAGACACCTTCGCCGGCTCCCGTGGAATGACATCATCTCCATCTTCCCTTGACTCTCGCTGACGAGAACCGGAAGTGACGTGCCTGTAGACCCACCTCCACTTCCTCCGAGAAACTGAGAGCTCCAGCCGGTTCTGCTGACTCTGCCTCCTCCACCAAGGTTCCCCAATTGGCAGAGCGCTGCCCGAGTGGGAGGGACTCCGAAATCCCCGCGTCCTCGGCGTCTCCATATCAATAGCCGCCATCTTTGGAGAAGGTGCAGCGGGCTCTGCCTGCCCCTGCCTCAGCTCCTCACCGCTCACCACCTCTGAATCCTCCATGGAGGAGACCTCTTCCACCGGACCTCTCGCCACCGCCTGACTCTTACTCCTTGCCGCTTTGAAGCGGGCCTCATTCAAAAACTTTTTACGGAGCATACCGCTTCTCTTCTTTAGTGCCGCCACATACTTGCCCTGAAGGGCTACACGTTTCTCCAGGGCCTCCAATTATGGCTTTAAGGCCTGCCGTTTCGAGCTCCACACCCGCTGGTAGGTCTGGTGGAGCTTCTTGGGCTCCAAGCTCAATTTCCCAAGCTTCACCTCCTCCTTTTCGATGGTCCTGACTCGGGCTGCCACCCGGTCTCTGTAAGCTTTGTAGTCCTCCCCCTTCTTTGGGGCCGTTCCCAGGTTCTCAATAGGTGGAAATTCAAGGCTGGTACTAGGCTCCTCCAGGGGCCTCACACTGCTGGACTCAGGCCCAGGATCCGCCATCCTCCCTGGGCCTGAGCAGGGCACTTTAGCCCCAGGCTTCTCGGGCCTACCTGGGGCTTAGCAGAGCACAGTCCAACACAGCCTCTCCACACGGTGTCAGGAATGGAAATTTTGTTTATTGATGGTCTATCAACCAGCCAACACAAACATTTTCTTATAAAAATACAAAAGTAGAAAAAAATAAATATATGCATAGCTACATTACTTGCATGTAACACAGAAATCAAAACTTAAAGTCCAACAGAAAGTCCATACGGTAAATACATACTTAGACCTATGCGGTCAATAGAGGACTTGCACAATAAATATATGCATAGTTGCATTGCTTGCATGTAACTGCAGAAATCAAAACTTAACTAGTTGCCGACCGCAGATAGCCAAATGACGGCTTCACTGCGGCCGGCCAGTTCTGGGTGGACGTCATATGACGCCCCCCCCAGAACGCACTCTTCTGCGCGCCCCAGGGGGGCGCGCACCCGGCGATCTCCGTGATGATCACGAGATGTGGTAAAAGGCCGATCATACCGGCCTTTTACCACGTGATCAGCGGTGTCCAATGACACGCTGATCACAGGGAAATGCAAGTGCCGGTTCTCGGCTGCTGCTGTCAGGTCGTGAGGAAAGTACTGCCGAGAACCGGCAGTTGTCAGAGCGAGGATCGGCACCGATCATCAGGGCCACTGATGATCAGTGCCCTGATGATCGGTGCCCAGCAGTGCCACCCACAAGTTCCGCCCACCTGTGCCCAGCAGTGCGCCCACTAGCTCCGCCCACCTGTGCCCAGCAGTGCACCCACCTGTGCCCAGCAGTGCACCCACCTGTGCCACTCTGCAGTGTCACACACCTGTGCCCAGAAGTGCCACCCACCTGTGCCCAGCAGTGCCACCCACCAGTGCCACCCACCAGTGCCACCCACCAGTGCAGCCCAGCAGTGCTGCCAGTCAGTGCCACCAGTCAGTGCCCAGCGGTTGTGCCAGTCAGTGCCGCCAGTCAGTGCCCAGCAGTGATGCCAGTCAGTGCCATCTATCAGTACCCATCATCAGTGTCACCTATCAGTGCCGCCTATCAGTGCTGCATATTAGTGCCGCCTATCCGTGACACCTCATTAGTGCTGCCTATCAGTGTGCCGCCTATCCGTGCCACCTCATTAGTACTGCCTATCAGTGCCCTTTAGTGCTGCCTATCAGTGCCCATCAGTGCCGCCTATCAGTGCCCATCAGTGCTGCCTCATCAACGCACATCAGTGAAGGAGAAAAAATACCTGTTTGAAAAATTTTATAATAGAAACAAAGAAATTTTTTTTTTTTTTCAAATTTTTTGCACTTTTTTAATTTATAGCGCAAAAAGTAAAGCGCCCAGTGGCGATTAAATACCACCAAAAGAAAGCGTATGTACTCTCCAGCGCCTCAGGATATGCACAGCCAAAAGGGAAGCCAAGGGTACCAGGACAGCGACAACCAAAAGGAAATGTTCCAGGGGTGCAGCCCTCCTCAGATGGGGAAATCAGCCACTGGATAGAGAGAAAACAGGTGGCGCACACACCTAGTGCATTATCCAAGGTTTATTGTAGGAATTAAATCATAAAAACATACTCACAGACGAAGCATGTATCTAAAAAGCATAGAAAAATTACAGGCATCAACAGCAGGGCTCTTACTTCACTTTCCATTCATCAGCATCAGAGGTTGGTCATCAGCTCTGAGGAAAGGGATTCATCCCCGAAACGCGTCAGCCATTTGACCGCACTGACAGTGAGAACACCTTGCCCGCCGTTGTAGCCATTGTCATTTTTCTATGCTTTATAGATACATGCTTCGTCTGTGAGTATGTTTTTATGATTTAATTCCTACAATAAACCTTGGATAATGCACTAACCACCAAAAGAAAGCTCTATTTGTGAGAAAAAAATGATCAAAATTTCATATGGGTACAATGTTGCATGACCGCGCAATTGTCAATCAAAGTGCGGCAGCGCTGAAAGCTGAAAATTGGCCTGGTAAGGAAGGGGGTATAAGTGCCTGGTAGGCAAGTGGTTAAAGTCCAACAGAGCTTTAATTAAGCCACACAAGAGACATATGAATAACACTAATATATGACACAGTTAAAGTTCAACCTGTAAATACAAAATTTCCATGACATGTAGAATCCAAGAAACCCAACATCCTCGCTCGGTCAAGATGCTTCTTCCCAAGAAGGTCCTTGCAAAATGACCTTGAGACCTCCAGGATCCCTGATTTGGATTTCATCAGAGACCCCGTACTATCTCTCAGGCCCAGGACCGTCTTAATCGCTACACCATGCTTGCAGTTCTGGTAAGGGTCGGGTGAGTGGTACTTCCCGTAGTCCCTCTCCAGAACCAAGGAGGCATGCCGATCATATTGATACTTCCTGAGAAGGAGTTTCACCTCTGAGATTGCCCCAGGATCTCCACCACTCGAGACAAGGCGATCGAGCCTCCTCCGCAACCGCTGGTAGGCGACATATCTATCAAGTTGTTTCTTCCTCCCTAGGGCCTTAAAAAACTCGCTGGCTCACCACTTAGTAAGCTCCCACCACTCTGACTTACTGTTGCAGAAATCCAGAAGAGTCACCTGAGCCTGGAAAAAGTCCTCGAAGGATTGTCTCACATCTTTGTCTTCCAGCAAGGTCGAATTCATCTTCCAGACGCCCCTCCCCTTCAGCGGTGCATCTGAAACATTAAAGACCACAGATAGCATAAGGTGATCGGAAAACTCCACCGCCCGACACTCAGGTGCCAAAAAGGCAGAGTCCCCCTAAGAAAAAAAACCTATCTATTCTGCTCTCACTATTGCCACGCCTATATGTGTACCCCGTGCTTTCTGGGCTGCACTTAATCAGTGCGTCCACCAGACCTGCATCCCTGACTGCTGCATTAAGAAAAACGCTGTCATAGCCCAGCCTGTCAGAGGAGCCTTTCCTGTCTTTAGGCCTAGTGATGGTGTTAAAGTCACCCCCAAAGACAACCTGTCGGGCCGTAAAAAAGGAAAGGGTTAATCTTTGTAAAAAGGCATTTCCTTTCCCACTTGGACTATGGGCCATAGATATTAATCAAACGCAGGGACGTCCAGGACCATGCACCTTCCAATCTCCACCTCAATAACCTGCCGGCTAGTTACCATATCGGTAAAAAGGACCGCAACCCCACTGTAAGGCTCAGCCGCAAGAGACCAGAAGGAGGGCCCATGCCTCCACTCCCTCTTTGCCAGGTGTATGTCAGCAAGGCTGTTCAGATGGGTCTCCTGCAAAAATAAAATGTCAGCATCAATTTCACTGAGCAAAAATAAGGCTAAATTACGAGCGCTCACAGACTTCAAGCTGGCAACATTAATGGTTACCACTTTTACTGGGGCGAGAACTGCCATCAAGATGATTGAGGTGGGCATTCCTTAGCCTCAACTTCCCCTGCTGGGGACCCCTGCAACTCCTGGGGACCCTTAGAATCAATAACAACAACCTCCGCCTGATCCTTGGAATCAGTACTATCAGTACCAAACTTATTTTCTACCGCAATATCCGACAGGTCCGAAGAGCTGAAAGACCTTGCTGGAGAAAGGGCCACTCTATTCCTCCTGACTCTCTTCCTCCCCCCAGCCGAGATCCACTCCTCTGCATCCCCAGCAAAAGGGGCCACCTTACTCTCCTCCTGAACCTGAAGGGATATCACCACCCTTTCAGCAGCCCTCCTCCCACTCATACTAGCCCCCCTCCACCCCACCACCCTGGAGCCTCTACCCACCACTGAGGGGTGCCCAGACTCCAACGCCTTAAAGGCACAGCTACCTCCATCTGCCCCACGGGCAGCCTCTGCCAACAAGGAACCATAGGTGGGCACAATGCACACACGAGGGTTGAGGTTAGACATGGACAGGGAAGCAGGCAACACAAGTGACGTGACAGATGACACAGACAAGGGGGGCCCAGAAGGACCCACAGACACAGGGGAAAGTCTCACTAGAGGAAGCCGGTACAACAGGAACAGACACAATGGGGGACTCAGCCACAGAAGCAGACCTTGTATCCTGACAGGGGGAGCCTACTAGGGGTAAAGCCGGGGCAGCCACCCGGACCGCAGAAGGAGCCTCCTGAAGGGGGACAGAGTCCTCCGCATCCATCCTCAGAAGCTCCTCCGCCAGCTCACCCTGGTTGTGAAGGGCTTCCGGGCACAGGTTATAGGGATGCCCTAACACATTGCACAAGTTGCAGCGGATGATGCTGCAGCTCTTGGCTTGGTGGCCAAGCCCCTGGCACAGGGAACACCTCTGGGTAGGGCACGAGGATGAAAAATGGCCCTTGTCACCGCATCGATGGCACAACTTGGGTTGACCCTGGTAGAAAACGATTATACGATCTCTGCCAATAAAAGCAGAGGATGGGATGTGCTGTACCACATTCTCGCACACTTTAAGTCTAACATGGGTCGTCCACCCACCCGTCCAGATGCCTTTCTCATCAAGGACCTTACTCAAGGGGCCTAAAACCTCCCCATACCTCTTCAGCCAAACCATCAAGTCAGCAGGGGGAATGGACTCATTTCTGACTAGAATTGTCACCTTCTTAGTCAGAGGCTGCCTGGATTTTACTCTAGGTGACAAACCCTCCCATTCCTTATCCCGCTTATAAATGTGGTCAAACCTGTCCCAAAACAAATTGAGATTCTCTGGTCTGATAAAGGATAAATCAAATTCGCCAGACCCTACAGGATTAATCAAGGCAAATATCTCCTCTACTTTAAAGCCCATCCCTAACATTTTATCCGCCACAGAACTCCTAGAGAGGGGACTACCACCCCCAGTCCACCTCAACTGGACCACATTCCTCCTAGCAAAGGAACTCCCAAAACTTGGCCGCGCACCAAAGGGGGGGACCTGCAGGGGAACCCCCACCCCTCCACCACCCAGAGCGGCCGCATAGCTGACCTTAAGCTGTGCACCCCCTGACACCGCACCAGCATAAGAAACTCCAGCAACCAAGGAACCCCTGGGAGCCACATTCACCCCACCACCACTAAGCACTGCTGCAGCTATTCCTGGCTTAGCAGGGGCCTAAGCATGCACAGGCTGAACACCGCCCAAAGAGTCAGCTTGGCTGGCAGCCAACACACCAGCGGCCGCTGACCCTCCTACATCCCCTCCTGCAGGCTTAGGGGAAACAAACACTGGAGCAGGGACCCCCACCCCCTCACCAGAAACATCAGCCTTTGTTAAGCAAACAATAGATGCAGATACAGTAGATACAATACCGTCCCCAGCAGTCTTTGAAACTATGCTCTCAGCCTTTGCTGTAGGCAGACAGGGAGCTGATTCACCCTGCCCCTCACACACCTGTGTGGAGACACAGTCCTCTGCAGCCGGCCTGAGCATGAAGACAGTGTTCTCCTTAACCCTTTCCTTGGGCTTCCGCGGGGCTACATCCATCCCTTCATCATCTGAAGAATCTTCACTGAACTTGAATTTCCTTCCACCCAACGGGGATTCCAGCTCACGAATAACTTGCAAGGTACCCACATACTCTCCAGAATCTTCAGCCCCTGATTCCTGGGCCACTTGACCAGGCGTGAGCATACCGCTCACCTCCAAGGCAGATGAAGCAGGCATTTCCTCCTGCAGCAAAGATTTCCCAGCAAGCTGGCCATCCTCCTCCACAGCCACATCCATAGACTCCCCCGAGCTTACTTCAGCATCTGGAGCCTTCACACCTTTCCGCATGGACATAAACCTGGCTTTGTTAGCAAACTTTTCTTTAAAGCTGCCACTTGTTTCCTTCAACGCAGCAACCAGCGGCACTTGGTTCTTAACTTTGTCTTCCAAGGCACGGACCTCGGGCTTGTGCATGGATCTTTTGTTGCTCCAAGCCTTATCACAAACGGCCTTCTTCTTCCTGAGGTCCATACGCAGCTTGGTCAACTTCTCCTCCTCCTTCGCGATACGCAGCAGCCTTGCCGCGAACTTGCTACGGTAAACCGCTCTTTGGGCCACCACCAAGGTCTTCAAAGGATGGGGCCACATCCTGACTAACGCCTTCCAAAGCCTTGGAAAGGCTGTTCTCGGGACCTCCACCCGGGCCTCCCCCAGGAACCTGCATGCTACTTGGTCAGTAGCTGGGACTCTAGGTCCTGGCTTTTTGGGCCTCTGTGGAGCCCAGAACACACTCACAGTGCAGCCACACCCACCGTCAGGAATGGAGATTTTTTTATTTGTATTAAAGTCATACAAATCACCAATCCAATTTTTTACAAAAATACAAAATATATAAATATAAATAAATAAATACAAACATAAGCCTTTCCCTCATGCACAAAACTCAAAAGTCCAAAAATTTCCTAAAAAAAAAAAAAACCTCAACATAATAAACCTCAACTGCCCTTAATAAGGCAGTCCAAGGCCTTTCATGGCCTAAACATAAGAGTCCATATCAAGAAAAAAAAGGCCTTTATGGCCTACAATACAAAAGTCCATCACTTGGAACAAAAAACATAAATATATGGTTCCCTTCAGGCCTTTATGGCCAGGAAACAGCAAGCATAAAAATAAACATAATAAAAAAACCCACAGTAAATAGGCCTTTATGGCCAATAAATTTAGCAAGAAATAAACTATTTCCATTCTACTGCTTCAGGGGCCTTTATGACCCAAACACACAACATCAAAAAAAAGAATACATACCCATGAAGAAGACTAAGAAACCAGATCTTCAGCACCTGCAGCCTTCCATCAAAAAGGATCCACAACTACAAAATCTAGCGGGGGTGAAAGGAGAGGAAAATAGGGACAGACCCAACCACCTGAGATCAACAGGCAGCAGCTACAGGCCTGATGTTCCTCCACGCCTCCATCCAGGCCTTTCGCCGACACCTGTCTTTTCTCCAGACCCCGAATCTTCCCAACATCACCAAGGATGCCACACACACCACCACCTGGACGGGGAGGACTTTCTGCCGAAGAGATACCTGGCACCGTGCGTTCCACGTGTAGTATCGGACCACTAAACTGACTAAGAACAAGGTGTCCAAATCAAAACCCTGGCGGCTTTCGAATGCTCCATACACCCACTCTGCATAAGTCATGCAGTGCAGGTAAGAAACACCTAGAGCCCCACCCACCTCTTTGTACACATCCACGTTAAAGGGGCACTGAAGCAAGAAGTGGTCCATAGTTTCCACTTCACCCTGACACTCCGACCTCAGACAACCACGGTCGATCCGGAGGACGGTACTTTAAATTACCCCTTACGTAAAGCCTGCCATGGAAAGCAAGCCAGGCCTGGTGCCTAAACTTCAAGGGAATCCGCTCCAGATTTATTAAACGTAAACCCTCCCTCATGATATGGCCTGGGAAATCTTTCAAGGCCAACGGAGCATGGAAGGCGGTCGCTACAATCCTTTCACCCAGGAGTCTCCTAGGGAGGGATCTGACATCCTCCACTGTCACATGCCACCGCCGGAGTAACTTCAGGCACGGTGCCACATAAGCCGGGAGTTTACCGTGC